AGTTTACTTAAGAAGCTCAGCTGACTCCAACTAGGATAAATTCAGAAAAGTCATTTACAGATACATCATAATCAACCTGCTAACAACTAAAGTTAAAGAACCAATCTCGAAAGCACGTAAAGAAACCACGATTCAAATAACTGTAGGGTTTTCCTTGGACACCATGAAGGCTGGAAGACAATAGAACAGCATTTTTAAAGTACTAAGGGGAAAGAATGGTCACCCCAGAGTTCTGTATCTAATGAAAATAATCTTTAGGAATTACAGTGGTAGAAGGACACCCCCAAGTAAAGGAAAAAACTAAGAGAATGTGTTGTCAGCATACCTGCTCTACAAGAGATGCTCCAAGCTTTTCCAAGTAACTCCAAGAGTTACTTCATCCTGTTGCCCTGGCCTCGGTGCCATCTTCAGACTTGAGCACTTTTGCTAGATTTATGTTGGCTGAGTGTTTTCAAGTTTTTAACTGGAGCCCACACTTTGGATTCTGTTTCTTTATTTCTACCTGATATTTTGCTACACCAGGCTTACTTTCTATTTCTTGTATTTAAGTTAGAATCTTAGATAACTTTTGTTTGACCCAATTGCTTTCTAAACATGTACTCCCCTCCCCCACACCAACAAAAAGAAAGGAAGATAGGAAGGAAGAAAGAGAAAAGAGGGAAACAGCCATTAAAGACTCTTAAAGAGGGATGTTTGGGTGGCTCAGTGGGTTAAGCCTCTGCCTTTGGCTCAGGTCATGATCCCAGGGTCCTGGGATCCAGCCCCACATCGGGCTCTCTGCTCAGCAGGGAGGCTGCTTCCCCCTCTCTCTCTCTGCCTGCCCCTCTGCCTACTTGTGATCTCTGTCTGTCAAATAAGTAAATAAAATCTTTAACAAAAAAGACTGTTAAAGAATAAACTAAGGGGGATGAAGGGGAGTGGGTGGGGGATGGGCTAGATGGGTGATGGGTGTTAAGGAGGCCACTAGATGTTATGAGCACTGAGTGTTGTATGTGGGTGATGAATCACTGAATTCTGCTCCTGAAGCCAACATTGCACTGTATGGTATCTAACTAGAACTTGAATAAAATTTTGGGGGAAAAATACACTTTGCATTGGCTGAGCTTAAGTATATTTCTTAATCAATTATTGAAGTTAGGATGCCATATGTAGTCCTAGATTTGCATCCTACTATAAAATGGTCATAAAAATTATGCTTAATTAAGTCTATCTGAGAAGCTATTTAATTTTTATTTCTCTCTTTCCACATACTTTCACAGTTTGACAAAATCATTAATTTCCCAATCACATTACAGACAGTATTCAACTCAGTACTTTAATGGGAATAATAGTTTAAGTTTTTTATAACACTTGAAAAGGCCAAAATATTGTAAGCTACTAAGAATAATGTCCTTTTGTTGTACTCATGCATTTAATATGTGCAGTCCTGCATGTTTCAGATTTAATAAAATGCTTTTATTCATCTCACATAGGAAGTAAGAAATGTCAACTTTTCGTTCTCTTTCCCATCCCTCAGTACTTTGACCTTTGGTACTGACATTATGTGTTTTCCTTTTTTAGTCAAAAGTGTTATTAATTTTAATCTCTGAAATATGTGTGCATGTCTGCCAAAGCAGAATGTAAATATTGATCTGTTACCACTGTAAAAAGTAAATCATCACATTATGGAAAATTTAGAATCATAATCAAATATTATTTCCCCATCTCACAATACAGTAAGGCAATGCTGAATTGAAGTGGTGGGCAATTGGGGTGCCTGGGTGGCTCAGTTGGTTAAGTGCCCAACTCTAGGTTTCAGTGCAGATAATGATCTCAGGGTCTTGGGATTGAGGCCTGTGTAGGGCTCCTGCTCAGTGCACAGTCTCCTTGTCCCTCTGCCTCCCCCTCCCTCCCTTCCCTCACTTGTGTCTGCTCACATGCTCCCTTGCTCTCTCTTTCTTTTAAATAAATAAATAAATCTTTATTAGAAGAATAAAATGGTGGGCAGTTGGAAGCTTTAGTAATTTTTGCGACCATATCCAAACACTTTTTTACACGTTTAGTTATTTTATAACCAGTGATTAAAATAATTTCTTTTGCTTGCCCCCATGGGATTTTTAAATAAATTTTTTAAATTTCTTTCAATATGTGGTTTAATAGATACTGCAATTCAGAAGTATTGATATAATTTTAATTTTTTCATTAAAAAATTAAGTTTTTAGGATTGGTATCACCTTACTTAGAGTATAAGAATCTAGAAGCTTTAACATTATCTTTCACCATTTTTTTCTTCCACTGTTTTCTATTTCTAATCAAGCGTACCTGATGCTTTTCTTAAAATACCTCTGGAATTCTTTACATTTGTCACACTCCTGGTGTTCTAGTCAAATGTCTACTTGCTTTCTCAGCCTAGAATCCCTTTCCATTCCACTGCTTTTTATATATCCATCATTCTGGTTTCTTCTAAAGAGTGCTGTTATTCTGGAGGGATCTGTAGGAGATGTCAAATTCTCACTGCTGTGAGTCCACGCATCCCTCCCCAGTTTCACTGTCACTCGTGTCTGCATGAAGGCCTCGCAAGGAACTTATTTCCTACTCTTCTCCCATGTGTGTCTTTGATACTTGTTAGGCTCCCAACAGCGCTGGGCCTGCGCCATTATTATTCCACTTCTGTTCCTTTCCTGGTCTCTCAGCCCTGCCCCCAAGCCCTGCTGGCAGCGCTGTGTCCATTTTCCTCTTCAGCTATTCAAGTGCCTGGCTCCTCCAGTACATTTTGCAAAAGTTTCTTCCACCTCTCATCTACCTCTTCTTTCTCTGACGACCTATCACACATCATCTCTCTCTCTCTCTCTCTCTTTTTTTAAGGATTTTATTTATTTTAGAGGGAGAGAGCAAGAGAGCACATGTGAGTGGGAGGAGGGGCAGAGAGAGAGGAAGAAAATCTCAAGCAGACTCTGCCTTGAGCCCAGAGCCCAAGGTGGGCCTCGATCTCAGGACCCTGACATCATGATCTGAGCCACCCAGCTGCCCCAAACATTGTCTCTTGTATGTCTGAGGATTCTCAATGGCGGAGACCTTGTCGTATTCTCTCTGCACCTTGACCCCATGGTATGTAGCTGATTGGTTGTACTTCTGTCCTGTTTCAGTCCTGTAGTCACTTTACAAAGCGAGGTGAGGAAGGTTTCTAGTTGCTTCTTTATCCAGTGCTAGGACGTGATGATGATTCCTCCCTCAACTCCCTCACCTCACACATCCCAAATTAGAAGCATTGTGTGTGTGTGAATTAGGTAGGTAGATTGGCAGGCATACTTAACTGAAATACTGTGCTAATGGAACCAAGAATGAAATTGACTCCCATGTGCATCAGTTAGGTTCAAACAGAACAAAACTCCAATTAAACACCATAGATGGTTCCCTGAATCCTCCCTGCCCGTATTCAGATACTTACACTGCTCAGCAGGGGGGAAATTGGACAATGCAGTATGAATATCCCAGCTTGTAATGTTGTAAAATTATAAAAATTTATAAAAATAACTAGAAATTAATACATTTTGTAATGTTATAAAAATAACTAGAAATTAATACATTTTGCACTTGTATTACTTTTATTAAACATAGTTACTAAAAATGCTCTGGGTAACTGTCTCTAACGAAGACTGACAAACTTCTTCTGCAAATGGCACGATAATAAATATTTTTAAGCTTTGCCGGCCACATATGGTCTCTGCTACATATTCTTTCTTGTTCCTGTTTTTGCTGGGTTTTTTTGGCCATCTTTTAAAAATGTAAAAACCAGTTTGCAGACAGCATATAGATTTTGCCTGGGAGCCTGAGTTTGCCAGCTCCTGGTCTGTAGCAGTAAGAAAACGTAGTCTGTGTAACCGGGCATCCCATAGGGGAGATTTTCTGTCCAGGAGAGAAGACATTGCTAATACTAACCCAAGCCCTGAACAAACTGAGATGTGCCCAGGGGGTTGCAATAAAGTGGTGGGAACATGGGAAACCTTACCCCGAGGGGAATGGCTCATGGAACAGCGTCAGGATTAGAGAAAGCCAAGAGACACCCTCCGTGGACTTCAACTTGGAAGTTCCACGACGTAGAAGAAGTAGACTTGCCCTACACGACCCTTGCCGTGGAGCCTCGAGCGGATGAAACTCACAGTGTAAAGGTCCGTTCCCTAGAGACTGCTTGGCAGCGTTTTCATGCCCAGAGAGGCTTCATGGCGGTGATTTTTCCTGAAAAGGATAAAGTACCTTGTAAAGAACTTCCCAACCTTCAGACCCAGGGATTTGGTGTAATACAGGGACATAACTGAACTCACCATGGAACAGATTACTAATATCGGTATCATTAACGAGGAAGTATTCAAGTGAATGGAAAGACTTCATTTGGATGGAATGAAAGTAAATCTTCATAGGATGTGTACACTTGGAGCGGGTTTTTAAAAAAGGAGCCACGTGGCTGAACAGTGTCTAAAACTGTTGCCTACCAACAATTTCATCTCATTATATTGTTCACCATTGTGAACATTTCCAAGAGGCATCTCAGTTCTCAGCCCAGATAGTTTTCTGTCCAGTTCACATAAACAAAGTGCACTTGCTGGGTTATTATAATTTGTTTCTAAGTCTCCTACTATTTACTTAGAAGGTAAAATCACAAGAGCAGCAAAGCCCAGGTACCTAGAAGTGACCGGTAAGTGTTCTTTTCCCACACCAGCAACAACTTTTGATTCATCAAGAAGCAGAAACCATAGTAACAGACTTCTGGCTCATATTCGCTACTTTGTGTCTCTCCTTTTTCGAGGCGAGCGTTCTTCTCCATTAAAACAAACCAAAAAAAATTGGAGCAGGCTAATTTAAAGACACCTACCTCTGTCGGATTGTTTGCCTACCTTGGCATTCACGTCTATGGAAATAGCCACAGCGACTGATTTTATTTGTTTGAAACTGTTAACGGTATTGATTCATTTTATTTAATCTAATCAGGATGCGATTTATCTTAATTTTGATTTTGGTTGTAGAGGTTGGCGATTTGAAGGAGCTGCAGACACTAGACATTTCTACCAATCGTTTGCTAAATTTACCCGAGAGGCTTCACCTGTGCCTTTCTCTGCAGTACCTCACCGCGGACCGCAATCGTCTATGGTGCGTGCCGCGTCATCTCTGCCTGCTGCCCAGCCTCAACGAGCTCTCCATGGCTGGAAACCGTCTTGCATTTTTGCCACTTGGTAAGTGATCGTGTTGGGCCGGCAAAGCCAAAAAAAAAAAGCCAAAGACGGAGACAGAAAGCCTTTGTGTGCTTGACTAGGAAGGATAGGTAGTTTCCTTCATTCTGCTTATCTTGAATTGCCTCTGTAAATCCATTTTTGTCGTGAACAAAGCGTCAATCCCGGTTAACAAAGTTAATTTCAGCCCGGGATTTCATATCGTAAAACGGAAATCTGTGCGTAAATGTTGCTTAGGGACAAAATACAGGTGATAGGAGATGATGTACTCTAATGAAAGCATGTATGTATGTATATATAAGACCATAAAATTGATGGGGGATATTGAGCAATATGAAAGGATAGCTACTGGTACAAAGAAACTGTCTAGATGTTGAATTCTACAGAGAAAAATTTGTATTGGGTGTCCTAATGATCAGTATTGTCGGATAACCAGACTACACAATTTTTAAAACTTTGCAATTGGCCAAACTGCCTGCTGAGCTAGAAATGTCACACTGGCTAACACATAACATATTATTCACCATAGATTGCTGTGGCAGGCCCATTTTAATAAAAGAATACATTTATTTTCACTGAGAATTGCATTATTTTGTTAACTTGTAAGAAACAAAGGTGCCATTTAAAAAAAAAATTAAAATAGGAAGCCCCACAGAACCCTACACTGTCATAGTAAGCCTCCTATGATTGTACTCATAAAAGCATTTTTTGTAATGAATAATTTATCCCTGATGGCAGTGAAGTGAATAATTTACTAGTCCCTGAGAGGAAATATTTTCTACCATAATACAGTACACATATTATTTTCAATTAAAAATAACTGGGAAATCTGAAAATCAGTTTGAGTAATGCCAAATAATTATCCAATTTAAAAAGATTACTTTTCTATAAATATAATTAAATTTTGTACTTATAAAATTAGCAAAATGAAGTAAGACCATTTCAGGAGTAAGTTATATTTCTAAGAAACCAGAGTTTTCTTTCAAGTGAGAAAAATATCAAGTATAAATAGATTTAAAAAATAAAATGCCTGCTGGGTAAACCATAGGTTGTGAAACCATTGCAGCAGTCAGGCACCAACCTACAAATCCAAAGATCCAGGTTCTCACCTGGTTCCCCCCACCATGCAGTGCATGCCCCGGAGTAAACCCCCAGAGCGTCTCTGAGCTTCATTTACCTTCTCTGTAAACCAGAAATAATAACATTTATCCTGTTGACTTTAGAGTTATTTTGAAGTCTAATAAGATAGCATGTCCGTAAGAACGCTACAGCCCCGTACAAATGCAGATGACTCAACTGAGAAGATAGAGCTTTTGGATTACCATATCCTGCTTTTTAAAATTTCTGTCCTCCTCATATTCATACCCTCTCTAGTAACCCCCAAAACTTGTATTTACCACTTCCTAAGAGCTGCTGCCTGTACCGATGCCAGCTCCCTACCAATGGATATCCAGGATGTTGCAGGCAATGCCGATCCGTGAACCAGGGAAGGGGGGGAGGGAAGTAAAGGATGTGATGATTTGATCTGCATGACGTAGAACTCAGTGGTCTGACGTCAGCATTCGAGGTCAGGCAGCACATCCCATTACAGGCAACCATGCTTTCACTCCCAGGTGTTCCCAGAAACAGATTCGCTTGTTAAGTCTGGAGTTGCTGGTACTATTGTTCATAGGATTATTATTATTACTGTTGTTGTTACTACTGACCACATCTACAGGGAGTGTCTCCATGAGTAATAGTACTGCAACTATTTGTAAGAACAATCATTTATTGAATCCGGTATTCTGTTAGGCACGGTACAGAGGCTCTCTAATTATTACAGAACCTGTTATTACAAAACTTATTGACAACCTGTTTACAGATGAGGAAATTGAGATTCAAAGAAGTTAAGTAACCTACCCAAAAGCACAGCTAGTGAGAGACAGAGCCTCTGTCTGATCTAAACTCCTCATTCTTTCCACTTTGACATGCTGTCTCTACATCCCAGGCATGATCCCTCTGCAAAGGGACCTCATTTGGAATAAGGCGAACTTGGGGCTCCTGGGTGGCTAAGTTGGATGAGCACCCAGCTCTTGACTTCAGCTCATGTCATGATCTCAGGGTCATGAGATCGAGCCCCATGTCAGGCTCTGTGCTGGGCGTGGAGCCTGCTGAAGATTCGCTGCCCCTCCACCCATACCTCTCTCCCTCCTCTTAAAAAAAAAAGAAAAAAAAAGATAGGAATAGGGTTGAATTATACTGAACATCTTTCTAGTTGTGTAGCCACCTCCAGTGTCAAATTTGGGCATCCATTTTGTATTCAAACACTCACGTGGACACTCCAGTTGGCCCAACTCAGTGTCTGTCTCTACTCACTTAGTAGGGTCAGTATGCCAGAGGGTATAGCTTTGTCTCACCTGCCCGATCAGGACTTCAGCCAGGTGCTCCCAGTTACTTATTTCTAATCTGTCTATCATCAGCAGGTCATACAGCAAGAAAAATCATATAAAAGTTTAGGCCAGAGACCTGTTACCTAGTTCTTTCTTGGTGTTAGCCATTCTTCTTACTTTGCCAAGCCCCTTCAACCTCCGTGGAGTTCCTGATTCCTTAATTATATGCTGTTCACAACTTGCTTTTCTTGTCTTCTTGTTTCTTCCATCAGATATGCTTTGTCTCAAGTCTAAACCATTCATTCATCCAGCAACTGACTCCATCCTGCCTGTGGCTCTGATCCACAGCTCTGTTCTCATGTCCGATACCAAAGGTACACTTAAACCAGAATGCTATCTAGCTCTAGGGCTCTAGAGCCCAGGTTCTGCCGAGAATCCCACATATAATCAAACTTTTTTTTCAAAGACTTTACCTATTTGACAGAGAGAGAGATCACAAGTAGTCAGAGAGGCAGGCAGAGGTGAGGTGGTGGGGGGCAGGCTCCCTGCTGAGCAGAGAGCCTGATATGGGGCTCGATCCCAGGATCCTGAGATTATGACCTGAGCCAAAGGCAGAGGCTTAACACACTGAGCCACACAGGCGCCCCTATAATCAAACTTTCTAAACTAAATGAATCTTGTTTACCAATCTTTAGCCTGTAGGTCCTGTCTCAAGTCCAGCTGGGCTCCAAGCCCTTCATCTTACCTGTTCTCCCTACCTCACTGTTTTCATCCAGCCATTGCTCCTTATTACCCTGGTCATTTGCTACTCCATTTTAGCAATGACACAGCCAAGCCTGTGTGGGGGGGTGGTGACAGTGATGTTGGGAGAAGAGAGAAGCCATTCCAATAGGAACTTGACCACTTTGGGTTTGCTTTGTATGACATACTGAATGCATCCAGCAGCATATGGCAAGAGTGGCAGTGCCTGGTGCAAGATCATAGAAAGGATCGTTGGGTCGAAGGGTCAGTCCATTACACATTGCCTAGCTGCTCTTCTGCTTTGGCGTCTCAGGTACTTATTTGCTGGGGCATCTTCTTTGTGCACCGTGGTAAGCGCCGATGTGGGCGAGGAGCGGGCATCTCTTCTTCAGCACTCAGGTTCAGTGCTGAGTACAGCCTTGCCGACTGCTCTCTGTCTCTAGATGTCTTGTCACGCCCAAACCTTGCCTTCTGTGTTCAGAGAGGTTTTCTTTGTGAACTGGTTGATATGGTGTCAAAAAGCATATGAGGAAGGAGGATCTGCCCTGGGCTCTGAGGAGGGTCCCTCACAGCAGTCAAGGTGACCGCAGCTCTCCAGCCTGGGCCCACGGACACCCAGGAGACGGAAGCAGTTTCACACTCCTCTGGGTGCCATCCCGGCTCATAAGGCTCACGGCCCTGGCAGGACTTAAGCCTATGGATAAGGTTTGATTTTACCAGAGAAAGACATACAAGCAAGTGGAGGAGGGTAGAAATTATCCACTTAGAAAGGAACAGGCTGCCTGAAGCAGTGCTCCGCCGGGGCCTCAGACTGATTCTTTGAGGACAGCAGGAGCCCAGGGTTAGGAAGCAGATACAAGCATTGGTGGCCTTTGTCCCCTGTTATATAGGGTGAACCTTTGTAAAGAAGTGAGAGTGACCGCCAGAGAGTGGCACCGCCATGAGACAGCCAAAGAGGGCTTCGGGAGATTGGAGACAGGATAATCTGTGAAGATGACGAAAGTGAATCTGACAGAAATATCAGCGATCTTCTCCGTTTTGTTTTTGGGTTTTGTGGGAGTTTTGTTTTTCTGTTTTGTTTTTTAATACCACGAAGGTGGCTTTGGAAAGGAATTCAACTAGGTCTTTTGGAGAAAAGGAATTAAATCCATAGCTGTCCCGCCACAGAGTTTGTGCACTTGAAAGCTTTCTTTGAACTCCTTTCTGATAAACTGAGGCCCTCTAATGCTGTGAACCATGGCGGACAGAGTCGAATGGAGCATCCCGGGGCGGGCACTGCCTTTCCTCAACAACCGAACTGTTCTTGGAAAGCTAGCAAATAGGGATGTCTCTTTATAGTAGTTAGGAGATACTGTGTGTATACACGTACACGCATACACACACACACACACACACAACTAAAGCGTTCATATAGAAGTCTCTTCTGTTTCAGTGTGATTCTGTGAGCACAGTACAGGAACTTGAAGGCTTATGAAATGGGTGCTAGTATATCACTGTCTGGGATTGGAGGTGGGAATCCTGTTTTGGGGAGTTATTTACTAAATTCAGTTGCCTGCCACAGAAAGTTGGCTTAGAAGAAAAACAAGTTTTTATGGGACTTCTTAAAAGAATATCCTATTTTAGCATCCTCAGAAAACAACTGCAGAAGGTATATGTAGGATGGCTTAAGTAATGAATAAGACTAGGTAAACCATAACGCTCTTTGAGGACAGTCTTTTTAAGATGAAGAGTTTCATCAAGAAAGAAGGGTGCTCCTATTCTAATGATACCATGACAATTGAGTGACAGATTAGTCTACAAGCAGAAGCTTTCTCCACAGAGGTGACCATCACTGAAGAGGACAGGGAAACTAATCACTTGAGCCTCATGCTATGAGATTTACTAGAGGTTTTG